CGAGTATTTTGGAAGTTATTTGCTCCATTACGCGTGAAGGTTGATTAGTCCGTGACTAATAAGTACTTCAACTTCAACTCCGAATTATTTTCATTTTGGTAAAACAACCACTCACAAAAACGCACTCTTGCAGGAAGACCCTCCACGCAGCGTTTGTCAGACTTTAGTCCACTTCCCTAGTGCTTATAGCAGGATTTTCTTCTACATTATTCAATACTCCTTCCTTAGTTTGCACCATTTGGAAATGTCTAGGTCTTTCACTGTGCCCACCTCGACATTACTGCAAACGACCTGTATCCCTACCTATACGTACGTATTTTCACAAGGCAAGCAAATCTACGTGATCCTGAATGATAACGTCTGTGAAAGTGACCTGCATACAGTTTTAAAGCCTCGGTAGAATTCTGAAGACACTCAAATAAAATTAAAATCATGTCGACAAGTTGGATATTGCTGCACAAGAGTGACATTTTGATTTTTTTCGAACCGATAAATGTTTTGTTCACAGCCATAGCGGCATGACCATCGTAGCAATGTTGACATGGTCGTGACCACCATTCATGGAAGTGACAAATTATCACAGTTTGAGTTCGATGAAACTAATAAATAATATGTATTTTCCAAAAAAATGAAACCCACTTTTTCCTTCTCACTGGAGATAAGAATGACAAGTGCAGCAATAATCTTAGAACTTCTCTCATTAAAGGAGTTTTTGGACTGTGCATCGCACCTTAAAAGCAATCGCCTTGCCTCACCACCACCATCACTCTAGGGTGCATAGCTGCACAAACATAACGTCGACAGGGCTGTAATGCGGATATGTGTCGATACCCCACAACCCTGCATGGCCGATTACCCTAATATCTGTTGATTAATTATATCAGTTGGATGGCTATATAACCTCTATGTGCACATACATATTACTTGGTATATGGAGACACAATCAATCGCAGATAGTAGTGGCTCAGATCTGATGCTCAGCCTTGTAATAATGGAGTTGGATCTCACTGACTTAGCACCGAAATGTAATCCGATGCAGATATAACACAAGGACACGAAGATTTAATGATATGGACATCTGGGTCTAACGTGGTTTAAGCCAATAATATAAAACGTATCGATAAAGGGACAAACTATTAGATATTTTTTAGCTCACACGTCCTTGAATCAATTTTATATTTTAACATATTATATTATTTCAACTTTCTGCTTGCGATAGCAACAAGGTTTATGTAGGTGGCTTTGATGAGTCCGGACCAGCGATTTGAATAACACCGGTATCATCTCATATGACGCATCCCAAAGCGCGCGTTTCATCGACATTTCCATCAATGTAATGCGTCATTCGTTCTTTTGCACTTATGTATAGCGGCAGTTAAGCCTACGTCTGTCTTGTCAGGTCTGATGTGATTCAGAAAAATAAAAAATACCTCAACAGAATTTATTTTATTTATATTTATTTAACAAAACGCTCAGATGCTCATAAATATAACTTCTAGTGAAATTTAACTGTAAACTTATCCAGTCAGATGGTGAGGCTCACGTAGTTGCTTTTGATATCACGAAAGTGTTCACTCAGCAATGGCATGCTGTCCTCTTATGCACAAGTTCCATCATATGCCCTACCAAAACAGCATTGCAAATTTGGTGGCTAACTTCCTCTCCAGCCGCAAGATATCCACCGTAATTGACAGGCTATCCTCTTCATCCCACAATGTAAACGCGGATGTTTTCCAGGGACTGATATTGTCTCCAAAATAGAGTGCACTGCCTTGACTAACAAGACGCGCCCTAGCAAACATTTTGATGGACGACCAAGTTCTGACAAGGAGCCATTTCGTTTCAGCTGTTCGAAGTCCATAACACTGAAGACTTAATTTGGCATGAGCAGATTTCTTCTGTAGCTAAAGCTTCAGGAAAAATTGGGTTATTTGTTTCGAGCCAATAAGTACTATACTTCATTCACATAGCTTCCTCTGTACATGGCCCAGATAAGAGTCATTCGCAGAAGAGAGCCCTTTGTATATGCCGATGCTCTGTGTGTGTGGCCCAAGAATTATACGGGTTAGGATTATTCCATTCTACCATCCAAGGCTATGTGACTGCTGTTGGGCAATTTGGGTTTCGGTCTGAGCATCGCACAGAGTTACAGGCGATTAAGCTTGTGGAACGAGTAACCAGGGGCTTCATCCTTAATAAAAGTACTGGCATTTTGTTTCTGGATGTCTCGAAGGCATTTGACAAGGTGTGACTCAAGGGTCTTCTCTATAAACTACTTCACAAGGTCTTAACATTTGGGCTTCCGAAACTTTAGAAATCCTCATTGAAAGCATGAAATTTCTGATAGGAGTTAATAATGCCTGAGTGACAATACGGCCGGTGTCCCTCAGAGTTCGGTTTTGGGACCAATACACTGCACTGGTGTTCCAGTCGAGTTCCAGAAATATGGTTTAAGATAGGTTGAAAATTGCGGTGGATGTAGGCTATCTATTGTACTAAAAAACGTCTGAGGTTTCACTGATAGGAGCTCACGTGCCATGGGAAAATTCTGCCAAGTATCTAGCTGTCACTCTTGACAAGGGGATGACCTGACAGAAACACACTGAAAGTTCCAGATTCGAACCCTGCAAGCTCTGCAGAATAGAACCTTGTGTGCTAACACTAACGTCCAACGAGACCCTTCATATAGACCTCGACATCCCTTACCCAAGAGACTACATCAAACAACAAGCGCAGCGACGTGATAGACAAGCGGGATCGCAGGACAACCGTTTGTTGCCTGGGTCAGCAGACTACAGTCGAGAAAGTCCGTAAACATACAAGAACGCGGCTCGTACTGTAAATAAAATTAAAATATGCAATTTTAGGTCTACTAGTGAATATCTCCAAGGCACTTGCTTCTCTCTGCTCTCCCACTTCCTTTCTTCCTTTCTATCTTCTTCCCTGACTTCATCTGATATCTGTGCAACCAGACCTGACAGATCTACCAACCTTCAACTCTTTAACCACAAGCAAAGGTCCTACGGACCGCTCTGACATACAATGACAAATAGAGAGAGAATTCCTTTCGCGTCATGGTCGATACTTATGTTGATCCATTTTTCATGGTGGCATAATTAAGTGAATACTAGGGCTGTCAACCTAACACACGAGTGTTTATTGTCTACTGTCCATATCCTATGAGCGACTATTAGGACACTTCGTAGATGACTGTATATACGAGTATATACTGAATATGCGAGAAACCAATATCAGTTACTGGTAATTCGCCAGTGCGAATTTTCTTAATTTTCTAAGAATCACCCGAAATTGGACATTAGAGTCTAGACAATAAAAATATTATGTACGAATGAGAATTGATAGTTCATACTTAAGCTAATACAATCATAAAAGGTGCAAAAACACTAAACGCAATTAAATAACAGCACAGCTGTTAAAAAATAAAGGTTTTTGGTTTCAGTCTTCCGAACAAATCTATCTCTAGCTCTAAAAGTTGCTAGTATTTTGAGGGTACAAATTACCGTAAATACAGCTTGCCAGAAAGACATCAAACATCAATATGAACGCGTTCAAATATTAGCAAATAGTCAATCATACCGATTCAGGTGAAATAATAATCATATGAATAAATTTTTCAACATTTACTTTCTAGCTACTATCTTTATCTTTAGGGTAAAATGGGCCCTCAGTTGTTTTGCATTATTTACTATGCGCTAGAGAAATGTGTCTAGTATACCGAACTCTCTAAGTCTGATAATTGCCGGTATTATGTTTACTCGACATGTAGCTCCATAGGCGTAGAAAAAAACTGCAATGGATCAATGACTAGAGAACAGCGGCACTGTCTTTCATGGTTTTCTATCTCTAGGGAAACTAAGGGGCTACCTATCGGAAACACGTAACGCGGGCATTAATCAGGCTTCAAGGAATGCTTTATACACCAGCAATTTCCTTATCGTATAGTAATTGCGCCAAAAAAACTGAGGACTCTCTTTCCTCAAATTAGACTAACGCACAAGCTAGAAGGTAAATGCGAAAAATCTACTCGCAACTAAAAGATTCGAATTGAGCAAGATTACTTATGAAAAATATCATCGGGTTAATGGACTATTATTTGACCTAAATCGGTTTGATTGACTATTCTCCAAGAACAAAATGCTTTCATGCTGATGATAAATATCTTTTGGGAATTGTGTCTATATGGACAATAACAATTTCTACATTCAACGTACGCGCAATTTTTAGAGTTAGACACAGTGTTATTCTAAGGAAAATTGAAAACAAAAACTTTTATTTTTTATTTTTCTGAATAGCTGTTATTTCATTGTACCTTCTATGAATATAATAGCTTAATTTAAATATAAGCTAGAAAGTCTAGGTGCATTCTGATGAATTTCTTACATGGTCATTTTATATGTTTTAGATTCAAATGCCGAATTTCGGGTGGTCGTTAGGAAATCACGAAAATTGGATAATCTCTAAAACCGAATTCCGGAGATACGTAGGTGTATGGTGAAATGTGTTGCATTCTAGGTCCCCTCAGACCCTAGAAGGCATACGGCGAATTACCAGTAACCCTGTATATGACCTTGAATACTATTTTGAGTATGTGAGGCCAAATGTTATCTGTACGAATCTCCGAAACCATACGATTATTATTCGCATAGTTCTTATATTTCCGTCTCCTGACTGAAATTGTATCGACATTACGTGATTGACAAGTTAGTGAAGAAATACTCACCTCACTTCTTAACCGCTCCTACTTAGACGCGTGTCGCTATGTCCGTCCCAGCTGCAACGAAGCATAAAATCGCGCGCGACTCTCTTGCGATCTCAGGGCTCAGCAGCAATAACCTCCGCGAGGACGGCGACGACGGGTCCCCAGCTGCGGCCAGGAGGCTACGCCCAGCGGTCGCCCCATATCCGCGGTCGGTTCTAACGGGGTGTGGATGTCGTCTGGCACCTGCAGAACGGACACCAGCAGGGGCTTCAGCACTCACACGGGACGGGACACTCCTCGCAGCAGCTTGCTCTGCTCTGTCTCTGGTTCGCGACGCGCCTGCGACTGGCTGTGCCTGCTCTGGCCAGCTGCGCCTCAGCTTCGTTGCTGGTGCTCCTGCTGCCTGCTCCTGCCGGCGTAGCTGCTGCCCCCGTCGATCGTGGCGGCGCGGTAACGGGCGGCCCAGCGGCGGCGACGACACGCAGCGCCACCCCCGGGCAAACGCAGCGGCGGACTAAGCCCGAAGAGTCAGGACAACCCACAATAGTCCAGAACACCGAAAAGTGAACAAATCAGAAGCCCACACTTCTCTAACTTATGAGAAATACGTTTTGGCAAAAAATGTAAATACTCAAACAAAATTTTATTTTAATCTTACTACTAATTATTGACCATACATCTTTTGGTAATATCAAAACGATAGTGGGCCATCATCCTCAATAGCACGCAGTTTGCTTAATAAGGCTTGTCTATCATCCGTTGGATCATGTCCGCTTGCCGAATTTTGGTTCCTTTTTGGTATTACCATGCGTTGTCATGAACTTTTCCAGACAGTAAAGGCTGAAATTCTTCGATGGGCTAAGCATGTGTTACATTGTCACGTCTTTTTTGGTTAATTAATAAAACACAATGACAAATACTATCTAACGGTTGGTCCAAGCAAAACAGTTGTCTAATGGCGTGCAAATTTAGGCCCTAGCTCAGCAAAGCGGAGAGTAGGGGAGGTTAAGAGCGCCTCTGACTTAGGACGGATTAAGCCACAACTCCCCGAGATGTTAGTCGGTACTTGTTTTGCTTGACCACCACAAAAAAGGAGAATCTAACAGAGATGACGAAATTTAAGTAACAGTACACACAGAGGGAGCCAAATAAAACAAGATATTAAATGAGTCATAATATATTGATTAATAAAAAAACGCACATGTGCTCCAGTACTGGAGTGCGAGTAATAAAAAAAAAGAATGGATGTTATAAATCTTAAATACAACCTGACAAAATTAGTTTTCGAGATAACCCCGCGAAACATCTACCATGGTATACGCCCGAAGTATTTACAGATGTTTTGCGCCTAAATATTAAACTTATCTCTAGGTCTTCTTTGTCAGTCGCGGCCGAGATGTCCTCAACTCTGGTCAAAAAGTGGCCAGTAGTGGGCACGTCACTAGGCAAAGACCTGCTTGCCTCGTTGCCAAAAATTATGGTAGTAAAAAAAACCCTAGAGAGAGAAAGACTGTTCAAAAATCTACTCTACTCTCTGTCTGAGATAAAACTACTCATTGAAAACAATCGCCCTTGAAGCAAAACCATGTAAGTTTTTTTGTACAAGAAAAGTAAAGCAAAGCCAAAAAAAAAGATAAAAATGTATTAAACTAATATACCCCTGTTCTAAAAAGTTATGGCAGCTCAAAAATCAAAATCATGATCAATGTAATAGAAGGTGCCATGTAGGCACTGCCCCCATATTTGAATACGTAGAATGTCCGGTAAAATCAAAAAGTCTCTAAGAATTTCAATAAGCAATAATAAATGTATAAAGATCTATGAAATTGCTAATTAGAATGATATTTTACCTGTTGATATTCAAGGGGATGGCTTCCACCAATTTGCAAAACTGCAACAAGATGCAACCAACTGGAGGAGAAAGGACGATGATTCTCTTCTGTTTCAATTGACTAAAAGAAAGCAGACATTGAACGAACGTCATCAGGACACGCATTAAGGCACGTGGTCCGAAGGTAAATAAAAAATAACTTACCGCTAAAAAAGCGAATCACGTAGAACACGTAAATTTCTAGAAGAAGGTATCTTGAGTGGCCTTGGAGAAGGTATGTTTTATAGGAAACCAACTAACGGAGAAAAACTACAGAGTTTTTTGCTGATCGTCAACACCATACTAAATCGCTGAGAAAGAAAGATATAATACGAGTGGCCTAGGAATGGGCACTCTGTTATCAATGAAGAGAAATTCAAATTACGGATAAGTGATAAATAGTAAAGCAAAGGTTACGTGATTTTGGCACGTTACAACATTTGGGGAGTTATATTTTCTTGGTATGTAATTAACGTGATTCTGTTCCAACCATTCTCGAGCTCTCCTGTCATGATAGCACGAAGCGAGGTTATATATATATATATATATATATATATATATATATATATATATATATATATATATATATATATATATATATATATATATTATATCGTCGTTTTGATGATAAGCGTTGATGAACTTGAACAGTTTTGGTAAGCATCTTTGGGTAAAAAGCTCAGTGTCCACAGCTTCTTCTCGAACTCGATCAACATAAAGAGCTAAAACCACAGCCTCAGACTAGAACTTTGTCAGTAAAATTCTCCTTTGTTGCAAATTTCACTTTATTGAAACACTTTTCAATGTCGGAAGTGTAAAATTCATCATTGCTTTTCATTTTTCCATTAAATTTACTGCTCCTATCGTTGTAAAAGTAAAACGTTAAAAGCATAATCAGTACATGAATGTATATGTTTCTTTGCTAATGCCTCACAAAACGCCTACGCCTCAGAGCCGTGCAGCATACCGGCATTCTTTCGAGCTGCGCCTGGGTATATTTAGAACACTTTCCTCTTTTTCGGAAATGTACGTCATTTCTGGAGTTCCTATAAATATGGGTCCAAAGATGCTCGCCTACCGAGATTCACGGTGATGAAACTGAAAAAAATATGCATATACGAAGCGGGTAAAGATACTGAGTTAAGATTTTAGACGTTCAGAGAGCCGGTACAAACAGAACCAGGGACGTAGAAACTGGGGTACCTAGACCCCTAGTGGGAAATATTTTCTGCGCCACTGGCATTTCAGAAGGAAGGAGTGAAGTGAATTTTATAAAATACCGTTCAATTTGAGGAAAATTTGTCAGATTACCCGTTTTTGAGATATTTTGATTTGAATATTTGAGGTGAAATCCTAAAATATTCTAATGAAAAGGTGTGCATGAAAACAACAATGACAGAAGCTCGTACCCTCTTTATTATGATCCATATTGAGATATTCAAAAATTTTCATTGCACCACAACAGATGATAAATACAGAACCTCTCCAATGTTGTCGTACGAAAGTAATGTCGACTGATACACAATAAACCTCAAGTTTGACAGTATGTCATGGTAGCGTAAGAAAAATGTAGTAGTTTCATTCATTTCGGTACTTTGTTTTTTGAATTATTGCCAGGTTTTCGCATAAATACAATTGTGCAACGGAACCGCAAAGTTTAAAATAGAATCGGGCTCTCTTGAGGTATTTGCTTATCGTACCGTAGCATATTAGGATCATATTCAGCACGTCACGTATGATAAGCGTTACATTTCGGTTCAACCGAGGTTGAAGTCATTTTCTTTTTACAGTTCATACCAATGGGCTACAAATGACAATGACAATATGTTTATGTTTATCTCTCTTACAGGTGACACTCCATATGTTATTTCTTTTCTTCGCTACTATACAGTGTATTGCGACAACAGTCTGAGCACGCTGAGATCGCCAGAAGCCGTCATGCCACCACGTAAAACCAGCAAAGCCCAGGATCACCTCTGAGGTAAAAGAGATGTCGAAGTACTAAGATTGAACAATGTTTAGGTTATTAACATATTTTTAAAATCATATTTAAAATTAAACAAATTATAAATTATATTTCTTTCAAAAAAGAAGTTGAGTGATTATTGTCAAAATTTAGTTTTACAGTATAGCTGAGTACTTGAGATGTACGGACTTGCACTTGAGTACTCAAGAATGGCATCAATAGTTATTTATTCATTCATATTGTTACATTTTTATGATCTTTGTTTTGTATTACATTTTTTTACCAATTATACCAATTTGTATCAAGTGGATATGAATAAAGAATAAATAAAGAATATTTACCTTTGCTGCGAACCAATATGGCGCTCATGGGAAAAAATAAACTTGATGATTGAGGATAAGAGACAAACCGTTATGATGAATTTCTAACCATGCCATCTTGTAGGGGAAAATGGCAATATTGTGTGCACTTTATTTTAGAATCCCATCCCAGAGTCTTGAAAAATGATACAAAGAAAGACCAGAAGGATTGCAGAAACTTAGATGAAAAACAAAGGATTATCGTGGGCATGTCCGCAAAAAAGGAACAGGAGCAGAAATGGAAAGATTGGTAACCCAAGCGACGCTTATTGGCTTCATCAGGCCCAAGTGGATGTGCATCGAAAGCACCGAAGTGAAAACATGTACCCATCACATCTGGATACGGGTGTAGCCTAATGGAGAACATGGGTGCAAATGGAAATACAACTAGAAACCACCAGCAAGTGCCAGGAGGTACATTTGTGGCTTCGGTTATAAATAATACTTGTCTTTCTTTGTATTTACCCATGGGCTTGAATGGCACAAATGTGCCTACTGGCTCTTGTTGGTGGCTTCTACTTGTATTTGCCCTTTCATCCTTGTTTTTCTTCAGGTTATACCCGTATCCAGATGTGATGGACATACGTTTTCACTTCAGTATTTACGATGCACATCGATTTGGGTCTGGTGAAGCCAATAAGCAGAAACGTACGTTGCTGAGGATACCAATCCTTCTATTTCTGCTCCTGTTTCTTTATTGAAATGAAAACGATTTTGGGTAGGGGAGAAGTGGCATGAAAGAGCCAGGTTTTGAAAGAGCCACTTGCATTTTTCGGTGGTTTAGGAACGAATTTGGTGGGTGATCTTATTTTAAGGTGGCAGCACTGATTTCCCGCCACCCACAAACATTTGACAGTTGGCTAGTGATAACAGGCGGCGGTACATCGAGTCAAAATTTTTGGCATCCAAAAGTAAGTATTTTGCTCTATCTAAGTAGTTTTTTGGCATTTTATTGTAAACAAATATAAGTATGTGGATTGTAGATTCAGTTTGTGCATATAATTGGCCTTGCAACTGCGTAAACACTAAGCGGCAAAAGGTTTTATATTGCTGTTATTTTGAAGGTTATATATTTTTTACCAATAAGTTATGAAAGAGCCGGGTGCATAGGCCTTAAAAGAGCTGGCTCTTTCATAACTGGCTCTTTTATAACCCTATATTTAAGTTTTAGTAATAAATTATTATAATAATAAATATGCATTTTTATATATTATTAAATTATTTGCTTCGGATACTGCATTATGGAGAAGGCTGGCTCAAAAAAACGAAAAAGACCCGAAAAATCGGTAATTGAAGAAGCAGTCAGTGAAGTTTTGGAG